GTGTTCAGCTTATCAGTCATTTACATCTTAGAATAAATGAGTTTTTTGGGCTCTTCCCTTGGATAGGAGGTTTGATGGAAGGGACGGTGGCTGGGCAGTGGAGTCAGTGGTTAAATGGTGCTTTTGAGCCAGACACTCTGGGTTCAGAGCACCAACCCAGGAGCCCCATAACCTCCAGAACTATATTGGTGCTAATGATGTCTACCTCATTAGGCTAATGTGAAGACTGATGAAAAGTGGTAGTGGCACCATAAGACAGTACACTCAGAAGCCCTGAAGTTTACCAAATGTCAGCAAGGTCACGATCCCAAGGGGGGAATACTACAAAGAGAGACTGAAGGCTGAAGACAAATTCATAATGGCAGAGTTTGGCTTGTTGGTCCCAATCTCCTTCCCCTTTCCTCTGGGAGCCACTAGGTATTCCCCTGCTTCCTCTGCAGTTAGGTGTGGCCAGGGGAAGGTGGGCAGGGGCTTGCCCTCCAGGCCTGGTCCTCCTACACAATCTTCTCCAGGCTCTCTTCCCTCCTCTGCTTGTGGGTTACAGAGGATCCTGTCCCAGGGAATTGTGGGGCCATCAAAGGAGGGTGCTGAGTCCCTAGATGACTGCATGGCACAGGGCATCTGTTCTGACCTACATGGGACTTTGACTAAGACACCATGATTGGGCACTGCTTGTTACAGTGTTAGCCTGCCCTCATGAACACTGGCCTTCTTCCTTGTAAAATGAGCCTGGATTTCCACCCGGAAGTCCAAGATGACCATTGTATGTAAACGATTTGAGGCTCGAACATCCTAAAAGATGACTGAGTGTATTCGAAAAATAGAGACTGTTGTGTGGCTTATGAAGCGGGATACTGTTTGAATATTAAACTGACTTTTCTCATTCCTCGTGCCCCGGGGCTTCCTGTCAATTGACTTAACAAGCGATTATTGCTTCCAGGTAGCAGAGGTGCCAACTATAATTTTAAAATTCCTTGTAATAAGTTGTGTAGCTCGGTATGAAATTCTAGAACAGGCAAATTAATATATAGGGGGAAATTTCAGAACTCCTCTGAGTGGCTGGGGTGGGGTTGACTTGGATGAGGCATGAAACAACTTCTGTGGTGATGGCAATTTGGGGTACACAGGTATGAAATTACACCTAAGATTTTGAATTTTTTTGTGAATTAAAGTGCAAGTGAAAAGTGTAGTTAATGATTTGCTTGCTGGAGTGTTGGGGAAAGTAATGATGTCTGCAATTTACTCTGCAATGCTTCAATAATTAGGAGGGGTTTAATGGTGGACTCCTGATAGCTTTGAGGAAAGGCCAGCAGAGGGGAAGGGAAGGGCGGAATCTGGGGGGTGGCACAGGAGCGCTCACTGTGCAATTCTTTCAAACTTTTCTGTTTGCAAAATTTTTAATAAAACATTGGGGGTGGGGAGCTGCTGTTGTGTTTCAAGCTGAAGGCTGACTCTCTTTAATGCCGAGGGGGAAAATGGCCTTGTATACCAGTTTTTGCTAAGGGACAAGCAATTTCTGTCCCCTCTAAAATATTCTCTTTCCACATCAAAAACAAATTTAGGTGATTCCATTACAGACTTTCTGTAAAGGCCTCAGGTTCCTGGGGAGCTCTCAGCAAAGGGAAAGGACTGGTGTGGGGAAGGGTCTGAGACCCCAAGAGTCAGCACCCTGGGCCACGGCAAGCCAAAAAATGTCTTCTACAGAATAGCCTCTGGGTGGGGTGGGAGCAGCTGCAAGCAGCAAAGACTGTGTCCCACATCCTGGTGGGAACTCTCAAAGGTGCAGGTAAGAGGCGCAGAGCAGCAGGGTCTCAGGAGACACAGAAGTGGCTGAGGAGCTTGGTGGGAGTGCTGTGGGGCCTTTCCAGGGTGCGGCTGGAGCGAGCATCCTAGACCGGACAGGGCAGTGAGGCAGCAGGAGATCCCAAGAGGACTTGCAAACCCATGCAGGAGACAGAGAGGACATTGCCCAAGGGCCTGAGGAAGAAGAAGGCAGGGATCTGTGCCAGGAGGACCCTGTGCCGGAAAGCACCTCAAAAGGAGCTTGAGCAATAAATGCCCTGAGTACTTATTTCCCAAAGGTGATTTTAAGCCTACAGAGTCAATGGCTCACTGAAAGAGAAAACTATTAGTTTTTTGTCCTCTGCCTGCATGGGAACAGGGCCCATGCATGAGGAGGCTGGCCTAGGGCTGCCATCTCAGGGCAGGCTGGTCTCAGCCTCGGGTGCAGTGCCTGCAGCCCCACATCCTGTAAGTAGCTGTCTGGGTGACTGGAAGAGCAGCACAGCAGGGCCTGGACTAGAGGACCCCCTTCTCCCCTCCCCAGCAGCTCTGTGTGCCGGCTCAGGGCCTTCTGTAAGAGGAAAGAGAAGGCTAGAGGGAGCGAGGTGGGGCTATCAGGGGGCCGAGCCTCTGATGAGACAATGTCCTGCAGACGTTTGCTGAGATCCGCCCCTGGCTGGGATGATGTGTTTCTGGAGGCTGGTTGAGGTCCTTCAAATTGTCCTGGTGCCAAGCATTGTGCCCTCTTCTCCTTCAGGAGGCTGAGGGAGGCTGCCGGGGTTGGTAAAGCCCAGGTTGCCTTGGCACCTCCTGCGGGCTCCTCGACCTTCCTTCTTCTGACAGTGCCAACTGTCAGGGGGACCCTCTCCTTCCCTGTACTTGGGTTTGGAGAAGTGCCTTCATGGTGTCTGGATGTGCATGGGGGGAGGGCAGGCTGCCCACAGTCCCCAGGACACAAATGAGAGCAAATACTAGTTTCTGGACTCAAACTGAAAACCTGGCCCTGGTCCTCTAGGACAGTCCTGGTCACATGGAGTGTTTGGGGGCAAGAGCCCTGAGGTTCAGATGGAAAATGAGGGTGTTGGAAAGGCAAAGCCGAGGCCCTCTGGGATGCTCACTCCATGAGCTCGGGACCCTGCAGCAGAGAATCTTCAACCTTTGGCTTGTTTTGGCATTTGCTCTGACCAAGCCAAGTAGGGTTGGAAAGTTAACCTCCTGGGTCTGGCAACTCTATCTAAAACTGCCAAGGAAGGGTATTGCTTAGAAATTGCCCAAACTTGCCTTCTCATCAGTTTGGCAGAGGAGCCTGGCTGGGGCACTGCCAGGGGTCCCTCGGCCAGGTCATCCGAGGCCCAGCGGCTCCAGCCACAGATCTGCCTCTCTTGCCTATGGCTCTTCATGGTATTTAGGTCCAGTCTGGTCCTTTTGGTGGTGTGCCAACTCTGGTACTGAGCGCACCTTCCAAACTTAACTTGCAAATTAAGACTTCTCCAGGAGGAAAAAAAAATCCCCCCACATTAGGGTTTGGTGAGTGAACAGAAAATCTGGGGTGCATACATGGGCACCTACTACCACCCCCAACACTGCCCCTCCATTCCACAATTCCAGCAGGGAGCTTGCAGCCAGTGCAGAGCTACAAGGGACAGGCCAGCACAACTGAAATTGGCAAGTCTAGGTTATTCCCAGTGGACCACAGGGAGTAAGTGCCATCTTGCTGGAGGCAGGGAGAATCCCTCCACTACCCTGTCACCCCTTCACCACCCTGTCACCCCTTCACCCTCCCTTACCTGTGACTTGCAGCCCACTGGGAATGTAGTCAGGGACAACTTGGGACTTGGAGGGGAAGGAGGTACTAGCAGCATGGGGAACTGGCCGGGGAAGGGGCCCTGAAAGGCACTGGGCAGGAAGTGACGGTCTGCTAGGGGCAAACTGACCTTCCCCAGTTGGGCTACAGGTCAGCCTTACAAAGTCCCCAACAGGGAAAATCTCTATTCTCACACTCCTCAGCCTGCGACCCAGTTATGGAGTCTATGATTAGTCTTCAGTAAACCCAGGCTCAATTGTCCCCTCTGCCCAATTCAAGCCCTTTAATGACTCCCCAGCTCCAGTGTTCTGGAAACCCACTGAAATGGTCTCAGAGGCAGGCAGCAGCAGCAAACAAACCACAAAGTAGCTTTTCTATTCTTACCCCAGGGACTCTTCAAACCTGGCTCTTTTGAGCCAAAAGCCTGGAGAGCTAGTTGTAGAATTTGGGGACACTCATGCTCACTGCTGACACTCACCAGGGGCTTTAACATTTCGGAAGAGCCTATATCAGAGCAGGTTAAGAGCTGCCAGCCAGGCACTGTGTCATTGAGGTAATTTATTCATTGTACTTTTTAAATTTTTAGTTGTTGATAGACTTTTATTTATTTAGAGGTGGTGCTGAGAATTGGACCCAGGGCCTCACACGTGCCAGGCAAGTGCTCCACCGCTGAGCCACAAGCCCTTATTTTACTCTTTACATTTTGCTTTAACACAGAACTGAGTTCAGAGTGCTTCTGGCCCCACACATCTCTCAGGTGTGTCTGTGTAAGCCCAGGTGGGGAGTCAGGAGCTCTGGGTACTGTTGACGGCTTTCCAGCAAGTTCCTCTGCTAAAGGAAAAGACGAGAAATCAAGGGCTCACTCCATCACATCCTGCCCAGAGTCACAGCAGGCAGTCCCCAAGGGAATGGCCAAAGGGCAGAGAGATGAGACTCAGTACTGACAAAAAGAGGAAAAATTCCCCCCAAAGAGATGATTTGAGCAGAATGACATGGTGTATGGAAACATGCCAGAGAGTTTTAAAAGGGAACTGACACAGGTATGGCTATCGCAACTTCCTGAGCACCACCGTAGCTTCGTCATTGGGTCCTATAACCCTTTTATGAGCAGAGGGTCACTTGAATAACTAGAGGGGAAACCTGGCTTTTCAGGAATGGATTCATATATGGGATATATGCTGTTATATAAAATTAGTAATGTGCCAGTTTAAAAAGATGAAATGGCAGATGGATGAGAACAATTGGGCATCCTCATTGTGCTGAAGCAGTGTGTTCTGTGCAGACTATTTCTAAAGGCGTGGAACTTTCAGTGGAGATTAAGGAAGTGAACATACCACAAGCCTGCAGGCACTTAAACCCCTCTGACACAATCAGGATGACACATTCACTAAGAAACTTGAAACCAGACAACCCATAATATTTGCTGTAGAAAATGCTCCAGCTTCCATAATTCTTTATTAAATATTTGACAAGTCTCATCACTTTTTACAATGACTTCATTTTGCCACATTACTCTTTTTGCTGTCAGGAAAACAAGCGACGGTTTCTCTTTAGCTCTCAAGAAAGAAAAGCAAAAAGGACTTGTTCTTGAACAAAACTTTTCCTGTATCAAATTCAACCTTATTTTAAAGCTACTCTGATTGTGAAAATGAGCATTATCCATAAGTTGTCTTAAAAAAAAAAATCAAGGTAGTTGGTTTTGTTTGACCAAATAGTACTTGGCTTCATTTTAGGAGGTGGGTTTATAATAAAAAGTTATGAAACATTGAGAATTCATTTGGAATGCTTGAAACACTTTTCACCTTAAAAGTCAGTTTTTTTTTCCAGGTTTCATTTGATAACAGATCCTGAATTAATAAATAACAGCGAATTAACATCTTCTTCCTAGGGTTCTCTCGGCTCTGAGTTCTCAGCACACAGCTTGGAGAAAACTGCAGAAGGGACTGAGCTCTCCCTTTTGAAACCGGATTACTCGTAGAGGTGTAAAAATGCTATACAAATATATACACATATATTTGGACAGCATATGTAGGTATACAGTTATGTTACATACAGAGTAGTAAGAACAACAAAGTCACACAAAATTAACATGAAGGGAACCATGACAATCTAGGTGAAATCAGTCCGGGTACGAGGGGCAGACTGGCTTATACGGGAACACAGGCTTCTGTCGATGCAGGTGATGGTCCTGAGAAAGGCTTTCGATGCACTGGTGCCAGGTCGAGAATGCAGTACACGAAGTGATGTCATTACTCCTTACAAACATAAAACCAGCAAAGAGACATGCGCTTCAAACATGCATTGCTTTGAGGGCAACAACTTTAATACAGGAGAGATGTCAAAAGGAGTGGTTTTCCTGGAAAACTCTGTACCAACAGAAAGCTACCCCTTTTCTTAGGAATCATTACACAGGCTCACATACTAAAGCTACAGCATTTTCTCACACACTGAAAACACTCTGGGGTGGAGTGTGCGTACGCAAGTGTATATACACCATTCATTAAGGCTTATATAAATTAAAAAAAAAGTGGTCCAAAGTATATCACATTTTCTTCCCAGTTTTAAAAGCTAAAGTACTAAGTGGATTCTTTTTTAAGTTTTTGTTTTTGAACACATCTCAGTCCTGAAATTGGCAGTTTTGACGTGACTTGGGTATCCCAATGCCTGAAGGAGACAGAGGTAGTACAAGATCTGGGGGGTCAGTGGGGAGCAGGGCAGGCAGTCACCCTGCACAGCAGCACCCCTACTGGCACATCAGAAAATGACTCCAGGCAGCATCTCGCCTCCCCACAGGGCAGCACAGAGGTGCTTAGTCTGGGCGAGGAAGGGAGAGGACAGGAAGCAGACAGTTAGTACAATGGGAAGGGACTGGAGAGCTGATGAACCCAAGCTCTTTGCAGACTTCAACATTTCCGAGATGAGATACACAACAATCAGGAATATACAAGAGTCAATGATAAACAACTCCTCACTGTTAGAACAATTAGAAAGTTGCTGCACGTGACCCTGGCTTCTGAGAGTCAACTGGGATCCTGCAAGGTCAAAGAACAGGGGTACGAGTTGCCTACACCACATCGAGAGATGTAGAAAGTGGTTCAAATATTTTGCACACCACTGGGTCCTCACATGGGAAGAATAATTCATGTCAAGTTGCTTTCTCTCATCCAACATCTGAATTTAGGGACTGTTCTAAAGGGCTTTGGAAACAAAAACAAATAAGTTTGTCCCTTCCTGGTGATCTGTTAGAGGACTGGGCTGCAGAAAAGTAAAGGACAGTCCATGTTTCAGAAAAACAAGGAAAGTGCACTGAGGTCAGACACATTGAGACAAATGCCTTCCGTTGTCTGTTCCAGGGGCAGTGAGCGGAGAAGCAACACTCTCCGAAGCTAACGCTGTTTGTGGACTTCCCAAATTCATCCAAAGGCCAACCAGGGGCAGGAACAGTAACACCCAGGATCCACAGGCAGCCAAGTGACACTCAGAGCCTTCCCGAACTCTAGCACTCACTTCTCAGCCCCGACAACCACCTTCTGCAGGGAGCCAGAGAAAGGGGTTCTGGTGGTCACTGTGGCCTGGGAGCAAATGGGCAACAGAGACCGTGAAGTGCAGAGCAGTGTGGCTGGTGGGAGGAGGAGGACAGGCAGTACCAACCTCCTCCCCCAGGACAGCTGTTGAAGCAGGGAGGTCAGAGAATGACCCAGAAACCTGCTCTTCCTGCAGTGCATTCTCCACTGCTGCCTGGAGTAGGCAACAGCAGACAACAAGATCTAGGAGAGATTCGGGGCCTTTAGGCAGAGAGAAACTTCACGAATAGCTGAGGACTAGTGACTGCATTTTCATTTAACCAACAAAAATCAAACCCCAAATCCAGCAATGCTTAATTGTTAAAAATCGGAGGAGTATCAAGGGGTAGATAAACTAAAGTGCCATTCACAATTACCATCGTTCAAATATTCTCAGGGGCATATTTCAATACTCCTTCTGTTCCTGGCTTAAAAATGATGAGAATAGTTTCTATTTTCCTATTTTCAATGCCTGGGCTAGTTTTTAAAAAATCAAAATATTCACAAAATGCACACAGTTTATGAAATGACTGAAGAATCCCAGTTTTCACAGTAGAATCAGATTTCTCCTCCTATAATGACATGATCATTCTCAAAATTCATCCAAGGACCCTGCTCAACTCAAATGGCATGTTTTATTTTGTTTTGTTTTTAAGAGTACTATAACTTTGAACTAGGAGGGCAACAAAAAAGGGACCTTTACCACTGAGACATTTGTCATGTTGGTTTTATGGGAAAATTTCCCATCAAAAGGCAAAAAAAAAAAAAAAGCAACATCATTTTTTATAATTACTTAGCATGTAAGTTTTCTGGTCACTCCTAGGTATTTTAAGCCACTCTGAACAGGAGCCAGCACTGAGCTCCACAGCAATCCACCTTCTATAACTTGAGGCCTCGGTGCTTCTTCACAGCCACAGCCGCCCAGGGCATCTCACGTGCCATTCGGAGCTGCATCATTTGCATATGAGCAAATTCTTACACCAGAGCTCTTTCTTCTATTACAGAGACTTCAAAATCACATTTTGTCTTAAATATGCCTGCCAAGAGATCAAACCTCCAGTGCTCCCCCAACAAACACAAGTTAAAAGGGATGGTAGGACGACTGCACTCCCACGCCGTCTCAGACATAGTCTCTAAACATGACAGAATTCTGCAACGAGACTTAAAAGTGGAAAAGCAGCAAACTGTGCACACACCCTCAATCCTCCGCCACCCCCAGTTTAGCAGCTTGACCTCAGTGGAGCAAACTGAGTCTCTGTTAATCTAGTGTACAACAGACACGACTTGGGCGGGACACGGTACTGAAGCATGCACCAGGTGGTAGGGAACAGAACTCGGTTCCATTAAGTGTATATTAAATAAATCCTTGTAGTCGAGTAGAAGTCACAAAACAATTGGAGAGGACAGGTCGGTAGGCTCAGCTTTTCATCCGGGTTTCTATACACCAGCAGCCAGATTCACAACTGATAGACATCGCACAGGAAAGATGTGTGCAGGGAGAAGAAATCATCGTCACACTTAATGTGTATGTTAAAAAACAAAAATGGAACCAGATATGACCTCCTCGTAGTACATAAAGTGCCTTCAGAAGTGGCGCAGTTAGAGCAGGAACCGGTTACTTTGCCGCCGTTGGCAAATGCACACCCGGAGGAGACAGAATGGATCTGGCTTCCGCAGTTTTGAATCAAGCAATGCCAAGTTTCATTCAAAATGTCTCTATGACAGACAGCAAAGGGGAAAATATAATAAAATGATGACTGTACAGCAAGGAAGGGTTAAGTAATTTCTCCAATGAGAAATGATAGTCCAACCCTGCCTCAAATGTGTTATAGCACACACAATTACTTCTAAGGAATAATGGTGTGATTCCTTTCAAGTTAACACAAATGTCATGCTATGTTACAATTCTCTCAGCCTGTAGCTATTACCTAAATTTGTACAAAAGAAAGTAATATCCAGTTTATTTTCATTCTGAGTATGGAAAAATTATCATTATGCCTAATGCTATATTTGAAATTCTTTCAAAAGTACTTGTCTGTGGAAGGCTTTTGGACAAAAGTGAGCCTTCCAGTTCTAATAAAGTAGAGGGTGGGGGGTGTCAAAGTACTTCAAAAATAAAAATGTCATTAACATTAAGCTTGGTATGAAATTCAAATACAAAAAAAATATGCTCACTTTCCAAGTGCATGAGACATCTTTAATTGTAATGAAATAAAATCTGAAAATCGGTCTAAATCATTTTAAAAAGTAAACATGAGTTGTAATACTATACCTGTGGAGTGATTAATTCCATTCATTGTCATTAGAAAGTATGCAAAATATTTATTAAGGGCTTTGCCTGCAGAGGCACAACATAAATAGAACAAGTCCTCCTGAAATGTAATTAGTGTACACATCAACCAGTTGAGGATTTGTGGTGGAAGAGGTGGGAACTCAAGCTGGGACTGGGTTCCCGCATCTGAACTCGGGCAGGGCCCGGGTGGAGGCCGGGCTCAGACAGCACGTACAGTGGTCTCTCCCCCCTGCTCTGCAAAGTCTGTTAGGCAAATGCAAAAGTGCAAGGGGAACTTGCTTGATGGACAGCCGAGTCAGAAGGCCTTAATCCACCCCTTCAAATCCCTGTGCGTTTTCCACGGCCATGAGAAGCTTCTCTCGTAAATCTTCAAAGGTTTCATATGGAGGTAAGTCAAGGCGATTAAAGCTGCAAAACGAACAAACAGTGTAGGTAGAAGGCCACCATTATCACCCTGTAGTTCCAACAGCACTTCCTAGATTTGGCTAACGGGGCAATTGGTGTTTGCACAAGGGAATGAAAAGGTTTTAGCCCCAATTCTGAGTACGAAATAAATAAATTCCAGCTATCAAACTGCCCAAACCAAACAAGCTATGTAATTACCAAGGAGAAAAACACTTTTCTAGTAGTCCATGCTCCAGGGCTGCGGATGCAGCTAGGCTGTGCCCATTTCCAATGCTATCACTTATTCTCCACTAGGCCTGAGCCAAGTGCAGGTCTATGTACAGACTCCTTGACTTTCATCACAAGCCTTCAAGGTGGGCAGAGTGACCTCCAATCTGCAGATGTGTCCTGAAGCAGTGAGGCACAGCCAAGGTGCTGTGGGTCCTACTCCTAGGAAAGCTGGGAACCCCAAAGCAGAGGCCAGGCTACTTGGGCTCCAGAACGCCAATGACAGGCTACCTCTGCTAACCAAAGGCAGACAAGCCAGTGAGGTTTGGAGAAAAGAGCTGTACTCTTTAGGACAGCCCCTACACATCAGGTGGCTTCAGTTGGGGGCGCTGCAAACCACCCTGGTGAGAATGAAGTCTTCAGACATGTGGATGGCCCCTGCAGGCATTACTGTCTACTTGTTTACAGAACTGAGTTCAAATTCTGGCTTGACCACTTGCTAGCCATGTGACCTCTGGCAAATCACCTTACTTCTTTGGATCTGTCTGCTCATCTGTGAAAAGGGGAAATGGCTCACTGGGTGTTGAGAGGGTCAGATCTGAACACACTTCAGGTGGGCCTGGAGGGCAGCAAGTGTGACCAGTGTCATGGTTCACTCAGTAGATGATGGTGATCCGTGTTGCTATTCATTCAATATTTACTGAATGTCTGCAGAATCAGTGTCTGTCGGGACTGCCGATGTGAATCTGTCCTGAACGTGGCCACACACCCTGGCAGCGGCTCATGATCTTTCGAGGAGGGCTAACATTCGTGGAGTCAGCCTGTTTCAGTGCTGTGCACTGAGCCCTGGCACCTCCCCCCCCCTCCCCCGTTAAGGAAGGTGGTGCTTCTCCCCTGCTTTACAGAGGAGGAACTTGAGGCACAGGGAGGTGAGGTAACCTGCCGCAGGCTGGCTCTGAAGCGCAGCCCTTGACCCACACATGGCTGCCTCTACTGTGAGGGTCCACACCGTCTGTGTTTAAAGCTGCCCCCACCCCATGCTGACCTGACTCCAAATATGAACAGAGCCGCTTTGCATGTTTTAAAAGCTAACCACTGTGTATAAATGACACATTTTTTTTAATCCATTCATCTATTGAAGGGCATCTAGGTTGGTTCCACAATCTTGCTATCGTGGTTCCACAATCTTGCTATCGTGAATTGTGCTGCTATGAACATCGATG